CCACTGCTGACCCCCACAAAGCACCACGCGTCCTCTTCTCTCCACATCCCTTCTCTCCCCCCCCCCGGCAACAGCAGCCATCAAACACATCCATCTGTCTTTCTCAAACTGCCTGCACAAAAATCAGAGGAGGAGAACATGGATATGGGGAGCAGCAAAGCCTGCCAGGGCAGGTTACCCGGCACAAGGTGGCCAGAAGAAGACAAGCACTGCTGAGAGAGGGTGGCTTCCCACTGCCCTTTGAGGAACAGCATAGGTCTCATGGGCTTGCAGGCAGAAGAAAATGCTAGCTGTTTGGGGTGTACCTGCAACTCCATCACTCCCAGCTCCTCCAGGGAAAAGCATGAGGCAAATCCGAGCATCCCACAGGCCACCTGTGGGACCGCACCGCTCCACGCCACCACTGCTGGCATACAGAAGCATTAGAATGGATGAAATTTCACGACATGCAAATAAGATTTCAGTCTCTGGTTGATCTTAGATGTCTTAACTTATTGTATAACTTGAAGAAAAACAGCTTTTTGAATTTGGCAACAAATTCTTATAAATCTGTCATTAGAAACCGTGTTACAGGAGAAAGAGATCAAATGATACAACATATCTGAAGCTAGTAACTCATCACCAAAGGGCATTATCCATCAAAAGGTTACCTCCATCCTAAAAAGAATAATATATTCATACTGGTTTAGTGTTATCAGTAGTTCTTTCTAGTATTTGAAAAGTATCATGAGTAACAGGCACAACATGAAAGGTCTACCCATTTTGTAATGGAATAGTCGAAGATAAAGAGAGATTTAACTCACAGAAGCAATACTCTACTATTCGAAAGAGAGGAAAACGAGAGCCAGAATTTCAATTATTGAAATCTGCACAAAAATTTTCTCCAATGCTGGCAGTCTGCTCTGTGACTCATCATAGCCTTACAAAGGACAGATTTAAAGTCGGTACTTTTTCCAACAGTTACCCTGCACTCCAAAATCAGCTTTTAAAAAAAAAAGTCACTATCTCATAGACAGTCCAAGTAAAAAAATCTTTCACTGTAGATGTTCTTTGCACTTACATAGATGTGGAATATTTTCCTACATCTTTTCATATATCAAAGATTGCATTTTCTTTTTTCAGTTCTACAGGGCTGTTAAGTTATGCAAAATGTAACTCCCATCCTGTAAACACCTAAATGGTGTGATGCCCCATGAAAATTTCAGGGGTTTTGTCTTCTCAGGATTAGGAGCCAAAGGTGTGTGTATACATATACGTGTATACATACACATGCATATATCTATATAGATGCATATTTAAATCAAACCTAATTTTTGGTTAGCCAAAGCAAAGTCAGCCTCAGGTACACTTCAGCTAAGAGATCATGGGCCTAACAGAATTCATACAATTTTGGGGGATTTGGGTAAGACCAGAGTTACAAATACATACCAATACACATAAGATTGCATTCTCTTCCTTGTTTAGTAGCATGTCAAAATAACAGTTATTATCATGGGCATTCTGATTTATAACGTCGAAATAAATTCATAGTCGCTCCAAGAAAAAAAGGTAGATTTTACATATAACTTAATTTGGTACATAGCTGTGCTGAAGTTTAAGACAGCCACCAGAAGACGACAATGAGATTCACCCTGGGCATTGTGAGAAACTCAGTTCCTAAAGCCGCAGTAGCCGCATTCAGATATGGCCATAAAAAGAAGCGAACTGTAAAACAGTTCAGTTTCAGACTTGGGCTAAAGCCCAGGCAAGATTTTAAATCTCAAAACAAGATCTTAAAAGCATTACTGAGACCAAAAATACTGAATACAGCCTCAGTTTGCACTTTTTAAAAGGATAAGCATAAAGGTCAGATGAGCGTAGAAGAGAGCTACAAGAATGACTGGAGGACTGCAGAAAATGCCTTCAAATGAGAGTCTGAGTTCAAACCGTTCAGCTGATGAAAAAGGAAAACCAGGAGGTGTCTGTAGTTCACATGTACCTTCACAGGGGAAGAAGAATAAGTACTAAAAGCTCTCTCTAGCCTAGCACACAACATAACAAGGACAGTGGAGAATGAAAGCAGAAACATCTTAATTATGAACTTGGATGAGAAAAAAAAAAAAAAAGGGAGGATAATTAGGATAATTAGGCACTGAAGCTCCACACCCAAGGAACTCAACTTATTTTGATGTTTTCCCTTTCTAGAAGATTGCTTCAGCCAAACATCTTTAGGCTTTAGTCCAGCATGAGTATTTAGGCTCAATTTAAGAATAACTACATGCAAGTTACTGGCTTATGATTCATATGCAGGTCAGATCAGATGATCCCAGGGGCCTCTAGCCTAAGTTCTACAAAATCTTCAGAAATAGCAATATTTAAATTATTAAGCATAAAACCTCAGCAAATCCCAGGGGCCCATCTGTAAACTTTCTAAAATTGCACCAAACTCTGCCGCAATTTTTCAGAAAGAGCTACATTTTAAGACTTGTGGTCAGAATACATTATGCAAGATGAAAACAGAAAAAGATGAGACTAAATCTTTCATGGTAAAATTTTAACAAAAAAAAAAAAGTTTCTTCAACTCATGAGTCTATTGAGGTAGAAACACGCACCACGAGAGGA